AGTGACCATCATAATTTTATATAATGAGAAAAAAATTGTTTCACTATATTTAATTGCAGTATATCATTACTTGCTTCCAGAATTCCACTTTCTCCTTGGATAGAAAATTGAAAGCAACTCATTCAAATTAGCATGTGAAAGACCTAAAAAAGCCTCAGGATAATGCCTAAAACTTTTTAAGAAAATATGAAGAAGACTCCACTCTAAATTTTACTCATTTCATTCCCTCATTCCTCTCTCTAGTTAGTGAGCCTGCTTCCCCAATTATACCCCTTTTTCATTTCAGAAAAAATTGCTTTTTTAACTCAACTTCAGTCTGCCCTTTGTGGCACAAATACTTATGGAATCCATCCAAATAACTACATGCATGTTTTCTTGATGAACTGTAATGCAAAAATGCTATTATATTCTAAGCAGAACCATAGATTTGAGAGCTTAATATGACTTCAAGTGTATTTAAATGAGATGGTGCTACACAAAGAAGTATTATTTGGTTGCTTCTATTCTACAAAAAAGAAACCTGAGGACCGGAGAGATCAGCATCCAAGGTCACACAATAAGTTAATAGAAAAGCTGGACCAAGAACTCAGCTCTTGTATCCTGGCCCAATATTTTTTTAGGCAAGATTCACTGTAGTCCAAATGTGGGAAGTTTCTTTGGATAATAATTGTCATGGTATTAGGTATTCACACTTATTCAAAAAGTCACTTGAAAGAATGCGTCTTTCCATGCATATGTTATATTACAAGCCCTATATGCAAGAATTGGGTAATGTGAGGACTTCTGTTTCTTATTCTATGAAAATGGAAAGTTGGGCTATAATAAGCTGAATATCTCTGACATCCAATGTTCATTAACTTAACAGAAACATATAGAACTGACAAATAGAAATCACATTGCTGTATTTCTAGAATGTAAGGATATACTTCATAAATTTTAGTTTAGTGGTTTATCCAATTTTTTTTAAAAGATGCTAGGATACCACTGACTGAGAATGTAATAGATAAATTCTACAAGAGTTATTTATATAAAGGTAACAGGAGTGATGCTTGAAGATGTCACCATCTTTAGCCCAGCTGAACTGAAAATTACTGACTGCTACATGCATGAAGCAGAAGTACATAACTGACAAGACAATCAGATCCATAGACATGGCTTTGCAGAGATCATGACCTATGTAACCACCCTAACTAACAAGTTTTAAGTTGTTACAGCCTCTGTAAATTCACCTCATTAGAAACTCTCAACTACCCCAAGGGTACAAACATTGTACTTGTCTACAGACCTTCATAAGGCTGATGGATAAAAACCAGAAACTTGTCAAAACAAGTAGGAGTATTCCATATAAACCAGAGAACCTACCCTCATCCACAGACAGAAAAGGTAAAAGTAACATTCACTAAATTGCTGCCAAAATTTTTTTATGCCACACACAGTAAATTTATTTTCCTACCTTTGTTTAAATTAAGGTGCTGTGTTCTTAAAAAGCTAATACTATTCTAAATTTTAGATTTAGATTTAATGTAGATTAGGGAACTAACTACATGGAGATAGTTTCAAATTCATATATTTAATAAGATAGTCTTATCTGTAACTAGAGTTAAATTAAGCAAGGTCACTATCTACAGTAAATCCAGGATTGCATATGTTCTTTCCAGTAGAATGAATTTACGTTTTACCAGAAAAGACTGACTTCATTGCCTTCTATAAATCTCTTCATATCTTCAGCTAGCTTATCTATTCAATTAGGCATGGATACGCCTCACTGAACTGGGCCACTGAGCTGAGCCTCTCTACCAATACAAAATTGGACTTTAACCGAAGAGATAATGACAATAAGCACACAACCTATACATATGGAAGGGCAATAAATGTTTAAATTGAGGCAAATAATAAAGCTTCCCATCTTGGAAGGTTATTAATTTCCCAAGACACATATATCTTTTATTATATATTTCCCCTCCCAATCCTTAGTGATTGCACAAACTTTAAAACCACAATAATAAAGCTTTTAGAATTAAATCATTTACATACAATCCAACTCCTCCAAATTTCATGACAATAGAGCCTGTGTCAAAGAATAAAGGTTACATCTATGAATTTACTGTTATTAAAGAATTGCATGACTATTTTTCTTAGTACCTGCAGACCATAGATCTCAATTATGAAGTTGCCCCTACAGAAAGTGCCACTATCATCCTGTCCTCTTCAGTGATTCTGGGTATGCCACTGTCCATTCAAACATCCTAATATAATCAATTTACAATTGGGAACAACACGCCAGTGGCTTCCATTTCCCCAAAAGTGTGCATTTATGGATTCTCAAGTAGATAACAAGGATCTTCAGCATATCATCTTGATAATTTCTAAGAAGCCTAACAGAAAATTTTTCCTAGTCATTCTATTAAGTGGAAACTCTAATAATCCCAGTCAAAGCCTCCAGTTTAACATGTCTAGGAAAGGAATCTCTCTTCACTCCCTGTGTTTGAAGACCATACACCGTAAGGAGGCTTTTAAGGGGGATAATATTAAAGTGTTGAGTGATATGTTTTTCCTACAAAGATGGTTTAATTGCGGTGCATTTCAATTTCCCAATTCATTTCCCCCTCCAATTTAAATGCATTGATACCATCTATACAAAATAGAAGGCAAATATCTGCTTTCCATCTGTTTCTCATCTTGGTGAGGAAATGCCTCCTGCTTCTCCAGCAAAAGTCACTTCATAACTCCACTGTTATGGATTTTATCCAAGTTATCTGAAGCTAAGATAGAATAATTCTGCAGCAGGTTAACACTTGCCTTATGAAAGAAGAGTTTTCTTCAAATAATACTGTGATTTTGAGACTATTTTTGTTTTCTCTGCAATTTTTTTTTGCCATATGTCTTTACTAGTTCTAATTATCATAATCTCTAAGGCAGTTTTAGTTCAACTCAAAAGATTTTAAGATATCTTAGTATCAAGTCTATGAATTACCGAGTACAGAAGTCAATTAAAATTAGATCTAGAAATATTCACAACCAGAAATGTTAAAAAAGCAGAAAACATAAAATAAGTATTCATATTTTTTGGATTAGTTTTACCTTATTGAGTCCAGCAAAACTAAACTATTCTTTTTGCTTCTTTACCTTGAGGAGTCCTTTGAATAAAATTATATATTCTGAAGTTTTTATGTCAATATCAATATTTATTCCCTTTTAATTTTCTTTCTGGTTTCAAGAAATATCTTAGTGATAATTTATATTCCCTTGTGATTCTAAGAAGGAACATATTTTTTTAAATACCAATATATTTTAGGAAAATCAAGCATAACCCACAGTTAGTTTAAAGAGAATACTAGGACATGGGGATATATTAAAAAATAGAATTGATTTTAAATATACTAAATAGTTAGTCTATTTTAAGGGTTATCTCACCAAAAACCAAAATGATAAACTTTCAAATTGGTATTAAATTGATTTTATTCAACTTACCCTTTTAAGTTATTTTGTATAAAAATAAAAATAACATGACATTTTGGTATTTCCAAAAGGCTCAGAACATTTCCTTCTTTTGGATGTGCAAAGGAATGCAAAAATAGTATGAGGTTTTTGGAACTATAGGCTTAAATTTGGTAGCTTTTTGTTTTTGTTTTTGCTTAAAAAAGGTTTCTTGTAACTCATATTTTTAATAACATTTTTATTGAAAAGGCATCCATCGATGATTATACTGTTATAGAATGTTAGTCATTCTGAAAAGGGCATATTGAGCGTTATGCTGCGTGCACCTGCCGCCACCCCTCCTTCTTGGTTGACTTTTCTTAACTTCTTGGGCTTCCTTGAACAGAATCATAATGAGACAGTGAAGATTACTGCTTAAGGAGGGAGCAACACTGACTTTTTGTTTCAGTAGTGAATAGGAGTCCTTTATTGACAGTTTCACATTTGGGTAAGATTTTTCTTGTAAATTTGCCTGAAAATATACCTTTACTTTAGCATGAAGGAGGGATATCAGAAATCAGTGGCAGAAAATATAAGAGATAAGTAAAAGAGCAGCAGAAAAGAATACTGAGATGAAAAGAAAAGCTTTTTTGGGATATTGAAGGGCATCAGAAGTTTGTTTATGTACAAAGGAAATCATTGTTTTCTTTCTCTCAAAGATGAGTGTTTTATCCCTTCAATGACAAGAAAAGTTGAACTCTCCCATGGGTCAGTCAATATCACAAGCGATAAAACACATTAGATGATATTCGTATTAGCTCCTTCCAGCCTAATCGCTTTGTCCAAACATACAGTATAAGCAAAAGTTCAGGTCAAAGCATTCTTTGAAGCCCCCTGGTTGGAAAAGATGTGAATGTCTGCACTGGAGCTGAAGTTAAGAGTTAATAGGCAGACCTTCACTAATAACTATTCAATACAATTAAGTAAAAAATTTAATAAATTTTATTCATCAGAACCATAGAAAACTGTTTATTTATTACCAATATGAATATCTTCTACCCTTTGCATTGTTCAAGCAAAAGCAGCCAGAGAAGAAACTTGGCAAACAATCCTCTGATTTGGGAGTGAACCTGGGGAAATGGTAGAAGTCATAGGAAATACTTGGGGAAGAAAGAAAGTGGAATCACTTAGGGGTCAAATGAACTCATGGTCCAGATCTAAGCTAGAGAACTCAAATTCATGTCATAAATGTAATTTTAACCTCTTAAGGGAAGATCCACAAGACAATAGAGATACATTCACAAAAGATCTGTGAGGCCATCAACTGAAAGATTCTCCTGTATGGTCCAATCAATTTTTATCCAGTAAAAACCAGAACGAATGGTCATGTCATGTGATTTTCTTTATATTTTATAAGCTGGCTTTGTCAGATAAAGTCCAAACTCTTAGCCACAAACCATAATCGGTAACTCTTTAACACCTCCACTTCCCTTTTGTTGTAAGAACTGTTAGCTTAGAAGAAGGCTTCAAGATAATACGGGATTTTATTTCTGACAGCAAATATGTGTTCATATGATTCTTACCTGTCCCCCTTTAGGCTGGTATTTGATGTTGTCTGTTGATCCAATTTTGGATTTGACGTTCTTCAGATCTGGCAGTGGTTGGTTAATGAGCCGAAGCTGCTTGGGAGTCGCAGGAGATTTTGGAGGAGTACGTATGACGGCGACTTTCTTCTCACTGGGTACCAAGATGGCAGATTTGGGGGTTCCTGGTGTGTGAGGGGTTCTCGGATAGCTAGGGGTTCCAGGAGTGCCTGGTGTGCGTGAAGAATAGCTGGGTGGCGTGCCAGGTGTAATGGCGGTTGATCCGGGAGTAGTGGGTGTTGAAGTGCCGCTTTTTCCTGCTCGGCGAATTGGCTCTGACCCTGTATTAAGAGACAAAACCAAACCAAAACCACAGCATGAGAAAGTTCTCAGGACATTCATCTTTCCCCAGATTGTTAGAACTCTTAATATATTAAATTTATAAAGCATTTAGAATATTTATGAATTATAACAGTGCTCAAAAAGGTGAGATCCTTGTTTTTTAGCTCATAACCTGGTATCATTCTTTTGAACATGCACTGTTAACAAAGCAAAAATAACACTTGGGTTTTCCCGATTTATTCTTCTTAATTTTCATTATGAATGTGTCAAGAATATTTTCTAATTGTGTAACTGTGAAGGCATACAGATCTGCCTTGAGTTGGAAAAAGTCTGCACCTAATGTTCTGTGTGGACTCACATTTACTGATGATTCCTTGAATCATATGTGGACCATTTGTTCTTTTGTAAAGTAAGTTCACTCTAAGATCCAGGTGGACATACAACTTGTGTATTTAGATCACATAATTTTGACCTGTGTAGATAGTTCTTTATTGAACTGCATTTCAGTGTTACTCCCTCAGCTTACATTGAGGGGCACTGTGAGATATGAATACTGAGATTATTCTAAAATATCACGCATTTCCTTTACAAGGCAATTTGTCTCAGCTCTCAATACCAAAAATAAACTGTATCTCTCCTTAGAAGTAAGATGTCTTAACACTATATTCACAGTGAATATACCAGTTTGCACTTTGGAGTCAAATCAGTAACCCCAGCAGCCAACTACACAGGAAATGGTGAGATGCATTTCTCTGTCTCAACTTGACCTTCGCTTCATTTTATCACTTAACTCCTTTCCCCCCTTTTTTCCTATATTATGTTTCTCTCATGTTGTCTTTTTAACTGTATATTTGAGTATTATTTTAAATGCCTTTTTGAAGGAATGATATAAATAAGCATATAACACCTTACAGATTTCAAAGTACTTCTGTGAACACCAAACATTTGATAACCAAACAACCATGTACAATAGTTAGAGGCAGCTGTTATTATTCCTGATTTAAAAAGGAGGACACTGAGGCTCATTTACCCAGATGATACTAAATTCTAAGCCAGACGTGACATTTAGCTTCTTAACACTAAAAATCTTCTCTTAAAATTATACATTGATTCTAATAATAGAATACTTGTTTACCATTTATATTTATTATTCAAATTCTTTGATCTTTTTCTATATTTTATAGGAAGAGAATCATTTTTATTTTTTACTACTGAGTATGGATACTTTGTAAAATCAATGAATCTTCTAGAAATTTTATGGAGGATAAAGGCATAACTCATTAATTTAAAAACCAGTGAAGTGAAAGGGGTCTTGGAGTCATCTAAAGCAACTGATTATCAATGCAGGAAGTTCTTCGAAGGGGACAACGAATCTTTGCCTGAACATTTTCAAGGAGTGACCTTTTAGATAATTGTAATCTACAGACATTGTGTATCCACCCATTGCTTTAGGTTGAGTCTCCTGGAGAAACAGGACAATTTTATTTCCTCTTTCAGTGGGCAGTTTTCATGTACCAAGTGAAAGTTACCCTGTGTCCTTTTGGTCTTCTAACATAAGGACAAAAACATATGTAGACTCTCCAATTGACAATGTGAAATGGAACATGAGAAAACTAAACTGATAAATTAGTATGCATTGTGATTTTCATTGCTTTCAACAAAAATGTAGTTTCAAGACCACACCCAACTTGACTTTTTGTAGCTTCCTTGCTACAAAATGTGTTAGTAGATTAAGCTGATGTAGATCTGAAGTAGTCATGTCTGTCTGATAAATCTCTTTGGAAACTTATTTCTTTCTCAAATATTTCCTCTATGCCTTCATCACATTTGAACAGCTTAGGTCTTTTGGAGAAAGGGATCTTCTCTGTATTATTGGCCATTGTACCTAGCACTGGTGCCTTTCATGCGGCCTGAACATGGTAGAAGCTCAACATATTTTCGATTTTAATGGTACAAATTGGATTCAGAATTTATCAAAGTGTGCTAAGGTACTTTTTACTTCATGGAGACTAACCTGAAGTATTTTGAATGTGCAGAGCAATTTTTACTTAATGTAATAAACATTCTTAAAGTAAGAGTAATTTCTATATTTGTAGAAAAAGGCTTTAAGCTTTGGAAAAGTAAGGGACAAAAGTTTTGTTAACATCTGGAGAATGACAAAAAATGACAAGTATTAAGCGCTTAACATGGCTGCTCAATAAATATGATCAACTTTGTATTGTAAGAAATTATGTTCTAGTCATCAAAATGACACATTCAAGTGTTTTCCATTTGTTCTGAAATTGAAAGCGTTCAAAGATACTAAAACAACTTAAAATGATTTATGAGTTAACTTTATTAAACTGTGTTCTTATTTATTTTGTCAACTCCTAAATGACAATGTCTTTTCCTCTTCTTGGGCTAAATGAACTTACTGCAATAGAAATGTTTCTTTCAGACATTTTCAATAGCTTTACAAAATGCTAGAACATTCCTGTGCGCAGTTAAGGAGATGATCGGTGAATGGAAGTAGACAAATTACTTGCTCTTCTAATTGCATTCCAGGGAGGCTGTAAACATAGTATGTTCTGTGCAATAATTCCAGTTAGATTTTAGGAGCTGGAATTCTAATAAGGGTCTATACCTTTAGCTGTTCTTACATAGAGATAAAATAAACCTTATTTCCTTAGATTATCAGAGTATTGGTTACGATCATACCAAGTAATACAATGCAATAACCTACAAAGTAAGGCTACAAACTTAAAACAGAACTGGCCCAGAACATAAAAAACAATTTATATACAGACACATTTATAAAGGCACAGTACAGTGGCTTGTAGATGTGAATTTATGGAGAAAGTGCCATTTTGCTTCCATAGCAACAAATACAAACATAATTTGAGGTATGCCTTTGGTGCTTTTGTCTTGTCTTGACATCCCTTATTATTGCTGATGCACAACTCTAACTCTAGATATTTACAGTTAAAGTCTTTTCTCTGGAGATTAACTCTTTAAGTGCCTTCTTTACTAGTTCATTTGAATATTTTATTTTTGCTAAGGTAAAAAGAGTTTTAGTAATTTCAAAGTGTTCTTTGCACATATTGCAAAGGATGTTAATACTTTGTGAAACTAAAATCTGTAGGGCACAACTGCTGTAATCCTAATAAACATGCTCATTGTAGGCAAAACACTCTAAAGTGCCATAGAAAATAGTCACATTTAAAGTGGGCTAATTATTATTACATATTTAAAAAAACAAGTAGTGAAATCAATTATATTGTGACGGTGGTAGTAATTTCTGCCATTGCATAATGGATTTTAAATGACATATATAAATCTCCAATCATTTCTACCATTTTATAATGGTTTTTAAATGATGGAGGTACTATTGTACAAGTGAGTCTACAGAGTAGTTTTCTGGTTCTATTTATTGCAAATAAATATAGAGAAGACTTTAGGGGGACAGGTTGTGAAGTTACCAGTAGGCTGAAAACCAAATTCGACCACTTTTTAGTTGTGTAGCACTAGACAACCTAATCCTTTTAGACCTTCTCTAAACGATCAGTGTTCTCATCAGTACATTTAATGAGGTTATTAATACTTAGACATAAGCATTGTTAATTGAGTGAAAAATGTGTCTTAAGATTTTAGTATCTACAGGTACAGCTGTTTTGATTGTAAGAGAAACACTTTTGTGAAAATAATTTGAATCCATGCTTTGCTAAATAATCCTGGTAGCAACACAATACCTAAGTGGGTAGTGATTGGATCATTTTAATACTTTTTACATAAACTGTGATAATTGCCAACCAGTTTATTATAGGCCATCAATCAAAAGAAAGTGAAGCTACTGCACAGAAGATGCTGTGTTTACAGTCTCACTGGAATGCAAATTCTTCACAAAATGAGTAAGGTCCTAGGTTTTGATTGTTGACTTTCCAGTTCGATTTTAGGATCTGGAATTCTATTAAGGGTTAAACATATATACATATATTAAAAATCCCTGACTATCATGTTTCTCTATTAATTACTTCACTCAAATTTACTTTTTTACTCTAAATTTGAAAGAACAGAGAAAATATATTCTGAGAAAAATGACTTTATTTCATCTTATTTAATGGATAATCAGCAGCAGGTACTCATTTCCTTCATCAATCATTCTGATTGTAATAGCTATTTGGGACCCACAGATAGTCTGGGTTTTTCTGATTCTTAGGGGAAATGTCATCTGTTTTTAATTCATGTTTTATTAGAAAAATATAAAATATAAATACATAATAAGCTCTACTCCACTTAAGGGATTATAAAGGAAGCCAAACCAAAGTAAACGTACTCGTGGTCCGCCGTGCTGAAGAGGAGATGGAACTGTTGAGAGAGAAGGAATTCTCCTCCCTGTCTCCTGATATGCCTCGGCGAGGGGGCAGAATGGAGGAGGGTCTCGGCAGAGATGAGCGCTTTTCTGGGCTCTTGGTTACTCCATCCTGATGGGGGAAAACAAAAGGAACGATGGGTTCTTCTGAATCTTTATTTTAATAATACAAAGGGATTATGTTGCTCTGGTTATTTTTCCTCCTCTGCTGATCCATGAATTTCTTTTAATACACACTACTGAATTGCATATGCTTAGCATCTGTGCTTCAAAACTTAGAAATTTTGTTCATATTTGCAGAGTTTTTACAAAAATATATCATTTTGGAGTTAGTGCTAATAATTGTAAAATTTAAATTTTAAATGATAACACAGGTAACATGACTTTACTCAAGTAATCATAAGTAAATTAATAATTTTACTGAAAAAATTTCATTAGTATAATTTATTCATCAGATAAGATTGGCAGTGGGGTATTGCATGCATAGTATTTAACAATGACCACTGCTGTATATTGTGCACCTATTGTGCTTAGGAACGCTAAGCACTTTACATCATTTATGATTTAATTCTTACCACAAAAAATTATATGCACTTCATAGACAAAGAAGCAGATTTTATCAGTTTATGTAATTTTTTCAAGATCACTGAGTTGGTAGGTAGCAGAGGTAGTATTAAATCATGATGTGCCTGAATCACCCAAACTGTCTATAAATTATGTATTATTTGTTATCAAATGATACAGTATGATTTATATATAGTATACTATATATAATATTGTATTAGATACTACATATTATGTATATTTTGTTTCATTAATTTGCATCTGGAATTTTATATCAAATAAATATTAAATAATGGTGTATCTAGAAAAAAATTTTCTTTTTTGTTTTTACTGGTTAGACTGCTAATAACAATTGAAACTTAATTTGCATTGTCTTTAATAGGATCTGTTCTTTATGTGTCAAACACTTCAGAAATGCAAGTCTGTGTTTCTATACATGTACTGAATTATATCTTTTAACCTCCCAAATTATATTCCTTTCTACACCTCTGGTTGACCACCAGCTGCCTTACCTTATTCCCTGATTCTGAGTATGGCAAACGGTCTGCAGAGCCCGCGGAGGTGGGCTGTATTAAAAAACTGTCAGAAAAGGTTGCCTTTTGAGTCGTACTATGGCAGGCTGAGCTGCATCTTGGGGACACTGTGCTACCCTGCAAGGCGGGAATCTTTGACAAGGTAGAATTCTAGCCATGAAAGAAAACAAAAAAAAAGCACAAAATAAACCAAACTATGAAGTAAAAGGAAAATTAAAAAATGTATAAACATATAAGAAATTAAATATCTATTTTTAATAAGACCACATGATGAAGAGTTATAATCAGTGAGGGAGATGTATATTTATGTGAGAATAAGACATTTTTTATTGAACACCTCTTTTTAATTAGAATGAACTTAAAAATACTCATATATGAGAATACAGATGAAAATATTCTTTATGGATTCTATACATAAGGTCTCTGATTAATCCATAGGTCTTACAATGGTACCATATTTGGAAAATACCTTGACAATCTCCTGGAATTGTTTCTTTAATAAACACAGACCTTAAGATGTGTATATATAATTGATATTTGATCATATTTCAAGAACTTTAGAACAAGGTATACTTAGAGCCTAACAATGGAAAATATATTTTTAAAGTTGAGAAAAAATATTCTTAGATATCTACATTAGTTTTATCAGAAAATTGCAGAGTTTCTATAGAATTTGCTCATTTTATGAGTACAATGATACTGGGAATCAAGTTATGGCACAGAATTAATACTTTTTATGGACAGACTTGCAGTTTGTATGATGTGTTGTAAGTTGTAAAAATGAAAGTTGGCACCAAAATACTGCTCATAAAAAATCACAAGAATTAACTTACAGGTGTTGATAATCTCTGAAGAGATTATTGGCAACTGTAAATTAGCAGGTTGGATGTGTGGCTTTTGGAGGAAGCTATGCTGGCATGCCACGTATCTCATGGGAGACTTTATTAAAGCTACAGACAAGTACTGACAAAGCCAAGGAGATTGTATCTTCAAATATTAACGTGATTTAGCTGTTACAAAAATAACAGCTGAAACATTTTTATCTTAAGTTTTAACCTCCATAGCTACTTCAAGAGAGGTATAAACAGTCATGGATTGCACTAATCACTTCTTGATTTACAGACCCAGCATCTTGAGTGTTAAGTGTAACTGGGTTGGCACAAGTCATTCTTTTTGATGGATGCTACCCACAAAGTAGTGAATTTCAAAAGTGTGATATAGAGAAAAAAATGGAGTAAGTAGATTGCCTCAAATTATAGAAGACAACCCCTAATACCACCCTAAAAACAAAAGTAAACCAAAACAAATAAAAAAGCAAATGAAATGAAGGGTTACAAGTCAGTTTCACTATAAAGATCAACTGAAAAATCAGACAACTGTTCTGATGCATGTACTGAGCTAAATTAAGAGTGAATCTTGGGGTTTTAGGAAACTTACAGGAATAGGATGACGTTAGAGAAAAGGGGAAAAAAAAGGAATTTAAATGAGAAAAAGTTAGAAAGGATGGTGGCTTAATCTCTTCAGAAAGACTACATGGACATTTACCAGGAAAATAGTTTTGTGTTAGAGATGCATACGGTTTCTGTCCTAAGTGTAAACAGTGAGTGTCAATTCCTGTTGAGTTACTTTAAGACCAAAAGACTTGAAAATGTCCTAAAGGTTTTTCAATGTTCATTTAAAAATTCTTTTCCCCATGGGGGAAAGCTCAGACTTACTTTCTATATGTGCTCCTAAGGACTTCCACCTTTCAAATAATAATAACAACTATCACTGTTTATTGGATGAATACTATGTTTTAGGTACTATATGGTATTCTGTTTTATTAAATTACCATACTTTTCACAACTAACTTAGGATACAGGAATTTTACTCCTCCATTATTTATAGAAAATTAAGACATAGGAAGAAAAAAGATCATAGAGCTAATAAATGTTCCAGACTTGGACCTGGCCTGTTTCAGAGCCCTGCCCATAACCACCACAACTTACTACTTCCCTGTCAGAAACAGAAGGCAAAGAGAGAGAAATCTGGAAATCGCAGTGTGCTCAACATAAAGCCTAATATTTAAAGCAATAAATAGGTTCTATTGCTTCTCATATATTCAGGAATATGCCTAAAACATTTATATAAAAATAAATTTTTTTAAATCAACATAAAGTCCCTCAGGTTTGACATGACAAAAAAATCTGGCTGACATTGGAAATGAATTCCTATTTTTCATGAGAAATGAAAAGTGGAAGTCTAAAATCTTGTTAGTTTTTACAAGGCTAAATCTATATAACATATATGATGTCTAAGATCCAGAACATTGTGATACACTACTGATATCATCAGTCAAATAATCTGTTGTAACTTTAGGATTTTATTAGTAGTCTTTTAATTTTTTTTCTTTCAATCAGAAAGGACTACAACACTTTGTGTTGGCTTTGGTCTTTTGAAAGTTCAAAAAACATGGTTAATAATATAAAAATAAAATCCTTAAAAATGTAAAATATTTATAAACATATGAAGCAGACATCATTATACAACCAAATTAAAGCAATAAGATATTTTAACACCGTAACTTGGAAAATACAGAAAAAGTATAGGAACATCTAGTAATAATAATGAACATGAACACTCTTATATACAGCTGGAGGACATATAAGCCATAGAACCTTCCTAGAGGACACTAACAACATGGAGCAAAAACTTTAAATATGGACTTTTTCTGAAAACAATAATTTCACCACTAGGAAGTTATCCTAAGGCAATACATATGGATGCATGCATAGTTTTAGCTGAAAATATTTCTACGGTAATATTGCTAAAATAATAGAAAAAGTTGCATGTCAAATAATAGGGAATTAAGTATATCACCATAAATAAAATGCAATGTAATGTAGTTATTAAAATGATGTACAAAAATGTTTAATGACATGGAAATCTGTTTACTGTTTGGTTCAACTGATGCACAGCATTTTCATTTTTGTTACTAAACCTAAGAATGTGTAGAAAAAAATTAAGATCTTACATCAAAATGGTAATTGTAGTTATCTAGATAAGGGGATTAAAAAGTATTTTTACTTATTTTTATTTAATATACTCATATTCTTATTTTGTCATAATAACAATGAAAATGTATTATAAATAGAGTTTAATGTTGATTATAAGTTATCTTGATTCTATGAAAAGTAAATAAGTCAGGCTCCCCTATTTTTGTCAGATAATGCTGTTTCATGTTTTTGTCTTATTAATAAAGAGAGAGTCTCAATCCCAGCTCTGCCCTCCCCAACTACCATCACGTCATTAAAGAAGACATTAAATAAGACATGCCCAAATGCCACGGAGACTCATTCTAGAAAAGTGAATGGTTTAAAACGCTTAAGAGTAAACATCAAAATCTAACTTATATCTAAAGTTATTAAGACGTTGCCACTAATATCAAAGGGAACTTCAAATGAAGAACAAGGAAAAAGTTTTTTTTACTCACAGAGACTTTGTCCTTTGCCTGTTTAAATACACTGGGAGCCTGAGTTGATTCACCACCTGTTGCTGTTGAAAAAAGAAGACACAAACAGCCCCAAACTTAGTGGCTAAAAAACCACATAATGCATTTTCAATACCTTTTGGATATACAGTTGTGTCAACAGACAAATGCAAAGCAGAACTTTGAGACTCAAATTCAGTAACTAAAGAAACCTGAATAGCATCATTAATTATGTGACTCCCACTACAGTGTGTGCTAATTAATATCACCAAGTGTTAACCAAAGCACAGGTAAGCACACCAAATAATTTTGTTCGTTAGCTATGAACCTTTAAATTAACATTACATGAGGATAGTTCTTTTTGAACAGAAATCATAGAATAGTAGTCTGAATGCTGTAGAAATTAAAGTAAAGGGTAATGATTGGTTTCTAGGATTTGCATGATATAAAAAGTGTTCATGGAGATTTCCAAACCCTTTTTCTATAGCCATTGGCATCCCTACAAATATATCTGCATTTCGTATTCCAAACTGTCATAGTCAGCCAACCCCTTTCCCTCTACACCCCTTCATTTCACAATATGAATGACAGACTTGTTTGATGTGCAATGCACCACATGAGAAGAGGAGGGAAGAATAAAAGCTTGTCAAGGAGAAAAACATAAGAGGACTTTTAAGTTCAGTAATACAGAACATGTTCTACACATGCACTTCCTGTATGAAATTGTTACCACATCTGTTACTGCTGTTTCTCTTGCTGCTCTTTTATACCCCTGGTTTCAATTTTAAACTCCATTATCTCCAGCATATTTTCTGTAGATGACTTACCTGACTTGACTTAAATATCTTTCATGATTGAAAACAATACTTTGTGTTTTGGAAAAACGACCCCTACTTAAATGAGAAAATGAAAGGCACAAGCTTGTGTGTTTACTTCCTCTTTAATTTTCCTTCATAAGAGAGAACCTCAGGGAAAACAGTATTGATCCTTATAAGCACTCTAGATGAGTTTCGAAAAGGTTTCCTATGTCATATGCAGCTCTAACACAAAAATAGTAACTGTCTACAGTATGCTATATGCTATTTGGGACAGGCTAGTAAGATTATACAGATTCTGCAACTGTTTGTTTCTAAATGCAGTGCAAATGATGATTTACTAAAATTTCTGTAATATATCTTAAATTTCTGTGACATATATAGTTTGCTTTAAGACAATAACACCAAGGTTTAGAATATGATTTCTGCTTAAATATCTTAATATTTGAATAGTGAAGTTCCTAGTTAGTCCAAACATCTTAAATTTCCTTGAGTAGATGACTTAAAAAGGCAATTTAATCTCAGTGTGGTAAACTGAATACCAGTAACACGCAGGTACTCCACCAAACCATTCTACATTTCCTCTGAAATTACACAATCCTGAGTCTTTCATCCTTTCAGGTAGGATGTAGGATTTTTGTGCACAAACCATGAGCTTTTGCCTGCCCAAGTATTTGTCCAACTAGAAGAAAAATTTCAAGTTTAATGAAAATGAACTAAGTGAGATGTGATGTAAGATTTAGAGATGTCATGTTGATTTCTAACTCTTAATTCAAAGGAACTCCTTGTCCTGAACGTTTATCAAGGTTTGTGTACTGTGAGCCTCCCATTTTCAAACCCTGCCTTAGAGACTAGTTCTTGAAGGAAAGCATATGAGATGATTCCTAAATGAACACAAAGACAAAATAGTTGGACTTTTTAAAGGCTATCATAAAACCATCAGTTACCTTGATTTTCTTTTCCTTTCTAAGATTAATGCTGCTTTTAACCTTTAAAACCCTCCTAAGATTTATATAAAGGCATTTCTAATATATAATGGAAAAGAAAATATTCCTTTTTTGATTTAACAATCTGGTATCTCATTTGGTAGATAGCAAGTGTACCACTTAATAAATGCTAAAATAAAATTTATTATAAATTAAGATTATCCTAGTATAATTACATATTTAAAATAAACACTTTGTACTGAAATTCAGAAATAGCATTTGCATTACAGATATTTGTATGGGCTTTTGTAGCATATTTCACTTTTTTAAATAGTAAAAAACATGTATATTTGAAGAAGATGGAAAATAAGGTAGCAAAATGGAAAAACACCTAAGTTCTAAAATTTTTGGAAAAACAGGTTTATTCAGAATCTTGAGTAGTCAATTATACAGGAAAATTTAGCCATTTGGATACACATTTAAGAAAATCCCAGTGACAAAATGTCAGCAGAGAGATGCAGTACAGGAGATTGAAAGCTTCGCTAGTTTTGGGTAAGAGGAAGGAAATCTGATAGGATTACCAGACAATTCCATTTTCCTTTTTCTTTTCATTCACCCAAAGCAAAATAATTTTGCAACCATAATTTTACTTTAGTTTTGCTTTTCATTTTCAATCTTGAAATCACTATGCATTCTTGGTGGTTTTTGGTAAATTCATCAACATCAGTAACAGATTTGGCAGTAACCATGTAGACAATACAACACATAGTATGGGTGGAAGCATGAGGGAGATAAAGAAGCAAAATAATGAGGATGCATACCATTGTTATATTCATCATCACTGGCTAACCAAACACACACAATGAAAATAGGAATTCCCGGAATGTGACACTGGAGTACAATGCCAAGATAAAATCACGGTTAAGTCTGAGCATGACAAAGAAACAGATGGTCATGACGTCTTCTGCAGGGAGGGGGGAAAACAACAATGATACAAGACACTTAATAGGAAAATTGTTCATGACTGCTAAGATTCTTCCAAGAAAAACAAAATGAAGTTGCTACAGTAATGAGATTTAAAAAAAGAAAATACATGTCTATGTTTGCCAGCCACATTGCAGAATGGAACAGTCACCTGTCGTTTTCCGCTTAACACAGGAGAGATGAGTTGGTCTAGTGTATTTGATGGCAGGTTTTAAAATGAATTTCCTGGAGGGAGAGTGGGCCTGAACTTCTGTTTTTTTAGCAAGTTCAGCCTTCTTATAAACTGCTATGAATAAGAAAACACAGAAAGCATACCATCAGGAAAAAACAGACACTTGGAGCAAAACCGAACGGAATATCATACATAATTAGTTACCGCTGTAAGGCCGTTTCTTCTACCAAAGAGAAATAATTACTTCAAAAACATTTTTAAAGAAGTGATTGTTAAATGAACCTTTTTTCCTTCTCACTTCATCTCTGGAGACTGTGCTAGGTTCCTTTTTAGCTATTTTTCTCTCAGGAGTGGAAATTCTGCCTCTCCCGGTTTTAAAGGGCTTTTCTTTTCTATGTTTCTCAAGAGATGGCCTCCGAGCTTCCTTGTCAGCTTTCTCCTCTTTAGGGATAGTTTCTAACTGCTCTGTCATGATGCTCCTATCATCATCTGTGGATCAAAGCAAACCATGACAACAATGGAAACATTAGTAACAAATGGACAAAATCCTTCTCGTATTTTACAAAATGCAAAATAAAGAGCTAAAGGGACATTTAAAAATGTTTAAAATGAAAAAAAAAGTTCCATTAGTTACTGCATTTTATTTGGGAGTAGCAGATTTAATAAAAGAATGCACACCTTGAGTGTCCACCCAGAGGCTGTCAGCATCCATGATGGAGTCATCGATGGTGGTCTCGTCTCTGTAATCCTCGTAGGTTTCTGTTTTGTATTCTGAGAGGGCAACCTCTTCTCTCTCAGGCGAGGCTGGAGCCGCGGGGGCGCCTTCCCTGGGTGCTGCTTCCTCGGCTCCAAGCTCTTCCTCAGCATGAGGGGGTGGTCTCCTGTCCGCCTCCGGCTGCTCTAGGGCTGCAAAACGCACGCTATGGGAGCCCAACTCCCCTTCCTCAGTTGTGGTTTGCACCACGGTGATGAAATCATCCTCGATGGTTACCACAGACTCAATCACTCCTTTGTGTTCACCTGGGCAGGTCTCCACAAATTCCTCCCTGGCACCTGGGATACCCAGGTCTGTAATCTGAAGGGTGTCTGAGCGGAAGAGCAGCTTATCATACTCTCCCTGGGCTTCTATCTCTTCTTCCTCAGCCTGAGCCTCTGCTGGTTCAACCCCTGTGGCTTCAAGCAACGGCTCGGTCACGTCAGAGGGCGTGATAGATATATCTGGGGTCTCTTTGCCTTCTTCTTTTGGCAGCTGGATAAACTCCATCTGGACATCAGCTCCCTCTTCTAGGGTTATATCAGCTCCTGAAACAGCAGGTTTACAAGGTATTTCCACTGACAATTTGATGGCAATCTCATCTTGAATTAGAGAAGACTCTGGGGATGTTTCCTTTTTGCCCTCATCGGCCTTCAAGGACTCCATGGTGAGGCTCTCATGCTCACCACTGGACTCGTAGGACTCTTCTTTGTCCACAGCCTCCTGGTGCACCAAGTCAGGCTTGGCCACCTTCTCCTTGACTTCTGTCTCACTGACTTTGGTGCCTTCTTTTGCTTGGCCAGACTCAACACTGATAAGCTCATCTACCTCCTGAGGTGCTGCAGACGAGGGGGCGAGGTCCTGTGTAGCCTCGAGTTTAAGCTCTGTTGCCTTCTCAGCTTCTGCATTTAGCCCTGAGGTCATCTGTCCAAAGTCACTGATTTTAACATCTAATTGACCCTGGTCAGCTTTCTCTGCAGCAAGATCCGGTTCTGGTTCAGCTTTTTTAGATGGTTCTACCTCAGCTACCTCCGGCACTGAGCTCAGACTTCTCTCTGCTTTCTCAGCCCTGAGCGGTGGCGCATCTTCTGAAACTGCCAGTTCTTTGGCTGAAGCAGGCTCACAGGTGACTCCTAATCCAAATGTTTCAGCTTTATCACCAGACTCTTCTGCTTCCTTGGCATGCTCTTTTGAATCAGCTTGCTCTTCAGTCTTTTCTAGTACAGTATCCAGCTTATCATTAGCTTTCCTCTCCTGATCAAACTCCTTACCCAGGCCCGGTTTGTCACCAGAGGTAGGCGGAGATACTTCCTTCTCGGCACTGAACTCATCTTTGATTCTTCCAGCGGCTGCCAGTTTTACTTCAATCAGTGAAAGGTCTGTGGCCAAATCTCTTCGTGTTTTGTCATCAGTGCCTTCATAAAAGGAACCACTCTCCCCTGATAAATTCTCACTGTCTTGAACAGGTGATGGGAGAGGGACCGTGTATTTATTGAACACACAGTAGCCCAGGTCTTCCAGCTGACTGTCTGTCTTAACAATGACGTGGTTTTCATCAGTGACAGGGGGCAAGCCAGTTCTACTCTCCTCAACCAGAGTCTCTGATGGGACTGATTTCTTCCCAGCAACTTCAGCATCTGCACTCACGGAGGCTAACCTTGACCGTGTACCCGCCAGATCTAGCATTTCAGGCAGGTCAGGGGCCATGACTGTGCCATTCTTGTAATAATCTTTGGCTAGGAAAGGCGACTCACATGAAGTCTCAACTTGAGTTACCTCTCCAATAGCTTTTTCTTCCTCTTTCTGTCCTTCCTCCTCTTTGCTTTCTACTGGAAAGCAAGGGGCTTTCTCCACTGCAGGTGTTGCGGCTGGAAGGTAATCATCCCCCTCATCCATACTTCCACTAGTATTGGTTAGAATATCAGAAGCCAGAGGAGAAAGATCATGTCCCCGACCGAAGTTAAACCCAAGGGCTATGGAATCCAGGCAGGACATGGGCAAATTGATTGACATGCTTCTTTGTTCTATGGCAGACCTACCGCCAAGTCCTAAACTCCTGCTTAGTGTCAAATCATCTTTATTCTTACTGTGGAGATCCCTTTTCTCTCCATACACCTTTGGGTCAATAGTAAACATTCTTTCTTGAGGAGAACCAGGTTCTTCCGGTAAATCAGATGGATAACTCTGTGCAAGAGTGCTATACCCTGCTTCGGATGCTGGAGCGCTGGGCTGGGGTTCTTTATCTGCCTCAAGTCCCTTTTCACCATTTTTATGCATGGGAGATACGGCATCAAAAGACTCTTGGGCACGTTCTCGTGTGTCACTCAGTTCATAGTAATCACTGCCTGGCTGGATGCTTTTTGCCACTTCTTCTTTCAAGGCAGATGTTTCAAAGTACTTGGACATTCCCGACTTATCTTCATAAAATGGCATGCCAAGCTCAGCGGATGTTGCAGTCATGGCCCCAGCTGTCTTGCTCTCTTTGTCAGCAACTTTTTCCTCACTCTGTTCACTCAGAGCAGGTGGTTCAGTCATGACCTTCTCCGGTGTCCTGGAGGTCACGGCTGAATCCGTAACTGCTTGTTCCAAACTTACAAGGATTGAGTCCTGTTTTAAAGTATCGGCAGTTGGCTCTGGGCCTTTCTGTTCTGCTTTTGAGAAGGTGTGCTCTGTGGAGGGCTGAATTACACCTGTTTCTTCATCTGCCGGTTTTGGGGGTTCGCCCTCTTTTGGCATGGCTTTTTGGTCAGAAATGGTTGTTTTTTCTTCACGCTTTAGCTGAGGTTCCTTTTCAGTAAGTGTAGCTTCCTGATCACTGAGGGTGGAAGTCTCTTTTTTCTGCACACTCTCTTGCTGTATGGCCCCTTTTTCTTCTCCTAAAACTTTCTCTGGGACGTATTCTTCCACAGTCAGAACATGGGCATCTTTGGGTGGAGCTACGGCTTCAGAGGCTGGGGTTTCTGCCATCTCCTCAGGTTTATCCTTATGGGAATCTTCAGCTTCAGAACTCTCTTTGGAAGTTATTGGGCCACTGGTTTCTTCCACAGACTTTATGTCACTTGGCTGTAACAGGATGGGAACAAAGGGAGATGCTTCTGCAACCATTTCATTCCTCATGACATCTAGAGGAAGAGTGAAGCTTCCACCGTGAAAGGGACTTGGCATGGGAGAATCAAACTGCTTTCCTTCCCATTTGGGGATATCATCAAGTACGTCTTTTCCCTTCATGGGTGTTAGTGGGCCAGGAGTTATTGGAGCGACTAAGCCCCACTCATCCTTTTTTGCTTCGATTGGCATTTCGATGAACCAGTCCTTTTGCCCCTTTGGAGCTGGGAGCTCTGCAGGGAGGCCAATACCAGGTACCACAAAGCTTGGCTCTGTCTTCAGTTTCATTTCTTCTAAGCCAACACTGACAGTGTGCCCCAGTAGAGAGGGAGGCGCTTGTTCTTCTTCTGTGCCTTGCACGTCCTTTTTATCAGGTGAAGTTTGAGTCGTCTCAGGCTGAGAAACTAAGGCAGCATGTTTAAGGTCTTCACCAGGCTTACTTTGTTTCTCTGATTCTTTTTCCTTCTTGTCTAATGGCTCAGCTGGAGAGGGAGTCAATTCCTGTTGATCATGGAGCTCCATCTTCGAGGCTGTAAGTAAACCTGAAGTAATTGGGTTGATTTTTAAACAAATAATAGGCAAGTGCTTTCAGGCAGTAAAGTTGAAATTATATTTTGAAATGACAAATGAATGGTAAAAAGAAAAACTATGGAACATGCAAGCATGCTACCCATATAAAAATCAATACGAAAATGTTAGGACTGAGATATATTTGTACTATTGCTAAAATGAACTCCCATTGTGAATTAATGCATACAGTAATTGTAATAAGAATATATTTTGAATACTTTTTTTGCCTTTGTTTGTTTGGTCTCCCCTAAACAGTATGTGATGTGTTTTGTCATAGAGAAAAGACATGTGCCTTCTACAGACAAAAAATGATGAATTAAGTATTATTGAATAAGTAACACTAGGGCAAAAAAGAATACACATTAAGGACTAAATACAGAAAAGGATCAATTTCTACTGAACTTTTTCATTTGTTTCTCATTTAAAAGTAAATTGGCAGGCCAAAGGCAGAAGGTCAATGAATTTATAATACGCATTGATAATTTCAAATAACTTGATCAACAAATGCCAAGACCAATTTTTGGGGCACTGAAAGGTTATCAACATTAGTTTTAGAAGACCTCTGAGATTAAATTTCAGGAATATATAAAAATACTTGGTATTAACTTGATATGATGTGAGCTAAGAACTGATAATTACATTTCTACCACATATTCAAATTTCTTATTTCCTAATTGTTACTTAGTTTGCCTTGTAAGTGTAAGAAGATCTGAATTATATTGTCACTACTGGGAAGTCAGGTGAGTAACAAAATTTTTAAAAAAGCCAACTACTGAAATATTTTTCTCCTTGGTCATGACCTCATTTCCTGGGAACATGACCTAGTGGTGAAGCATAGGCCAGTACTGGCTTTAGAGGTATTTCACAGAAATGAAACGCCTCTTTTTTATTTTTTTGTACAGCAATCCAAAAGGCTTTAGAATCTCACTTGTATTGTAAGGTCAAAGTATTTCACTGTGGTCATTAGGGCTCAATATAATTATTTGGAAAAGAACTAGGAAAAAATAATAAAGTTCAATCATTTCTTGACGAGCAAGTGTATGCATCATCATTACCTTATATACTTGTGTGTCCTGTTGTAACAATAGAAAAGAAATACTTTATGAACTTCTAATAAAGCTTAGATGAATGAAAACTCAAGAGATATGGTGATGATCAAAGGGATTGGCTACCATGGAAAGGAAATGATATGAGAAGCAGCAGCAGGAGTTTTAAGGAAACCAAACCAGAATTCATTGAAACATAAAAAGTATAGCACATTGCAGTTGCAAACAAAAAACGAGTCTACCATTTAAGCCTGTATGTGCCAAAATCCAACTCCACAATTTGAAAGAAAAGCATATGAATTGCTGTCCCAAAAATAAAAATAAAAATATACATGTATTAGCAATGTGACTGGCAAACATTTGAGATGAGGGCGGCACAAAAGCTCACACAGCATCATCAGCCTGTCTGCGAAGCGCACTGTATCACAGCAAAGTAAAACTAGGGATGAGCTGCAGCAGTGGAAAACCACCTGTGCAAGCCACTGCTCACTAAGCCCAAAACAGTGGTCTTGGGATCATGAAAAGACCAAGCGATGGAATAGCACTGGAAAGCTGCTGGAGAGATCATTTGCAACAAAACACATGCAAATCCTAAGAAAGACACACCTTCCCTGGCAGAGGAAGGGGTTTTTACTTCTAGAGACACCTTCATGACCTCTTTTACACTTTCCTGCTGCAGGACCCCTGCTGGGGCACTCACTTCGGGAACTATTTGGGCCTCTGCACTAGACTTCACTTGGCCCTCGCTGAGGCCCCTGGGTTGGTCTGAGACTTTAGCAGCCCCACACTCTTTCTTAGGAAGAGTGGCAGGTTTCTTTTCCTCAGACATTGGACCCTCTAGTGTTTCTTCTTAGGGGTGAAAAAGATGTTGACATCATGACCACAGAACAATACATGAAATGACAGAAATATTATCCAAGGAACACTTTCAGCTCCATTTTACTGACCTCAGGTGAACCTCTTACCATTTGGAAGGGCAAATTAATACTCTAAATCCAATGTACGGTATGCATTTCCTGGGTAATTATTACGTATAATCTCCTAATAATGATACCTTTTAAAGTCTCATTAAAAGGCTATTTATTTTAAAACTTGAGAGCTGAAAGGGTTTTATTGTTCTATTACCCTTTTAATACAAATGGCAGTAAGTTGCACACATGTGGAAAGCTTACTGGAAATAAGAGATTGTGCTGCTAGATAACAGATGGTTGTGAAAAGACAGATGCATTGATGTACTGAAAAAAAATCTTTAGATTTGTTAGACATGTGCTGTTTTCTCCAATGCAGGAAGCCCCTGCATATGAATTTCTGATTATTTAAAACATGCAGATTCCACTAAAGAAATCTTTGGGAAGAAAGCAAGCCTGGCCTTAAAATAATAGCCAATTGACTACCTTAACAGCTTTATCATGATATCCACCAAAACTATTGGAAATATAATTTGTTTAGTGTTTTTAAGGCAAAAGACTACCTAACTCAATGTATTTTACCTTCACTGCCATTGTATGATAATCGAGAGTGTAAACATTTTTAAGAATAAGTAAAATATTTTGAACAATAAGGTCCAGGTAAAATTTAATCTTACTATTTAGAGAAGTCTACCTCTGGGACACAACTGCTATCATGCTGCTTAAACCCCTGAAGTAACAGTGATGTTGTTCATGTTTAGTTCTCTTGGACACTGAATAAGAAATGTGCATTTACCTATAAAGTCTTATTTCTGCAATTCGTAACAAAACCTTCAGGGAAAGATAATTGAGTGGCAACCAAAGTGCCAAAATGTCCTCCCCAAGGACGTATATCACGTGGAAAAATGTTAACAATTAAAATGTAAAAGACAAACATATGAAGGTCGTGAATTATCATGCGCATTTGTTTCTCATTTACACTTCAAATACCAGTGAAATAAACCCCATTCTATTGCTTAAGAAATTAGAGGGAAATATATAAGCTGTTTTATAATTCTACAAATGGGAAATTCTTATGAAATTCTGAGGAAACAATTATACATTGTTTAAATGGCCCTGTGAGAAGACTACAGATGGAAAGGAAAGGAATTTCTTTTTTAGAAAATATTAAAATCCTTGGGGCTGGGGGGCAGAGAACTACCTCATCTACTTCCTTGCATTTACCATTCAGACACTTTCATTTTTATAATTTAATTATGTAAGTAACATTTTAAAAATTCAGATTCTAACTTATTACTAAGGCAATTTTAATAATGCCATCAAACTAGAGATGTTGATGATCACTATGTGACTTTTAATATAGCTGCTTTACTAATAATGCTACCTTATTGGATGAAGCATCATCAATTGGATTTACATGTTTTCCAAATCTATGTAACCATTAAGCTTTCCATTTTCTCATTTTGTATAAATCATATTTATTTCCACTTACTTAACACCTGTTTGTTATTCAAAAATTCACATATTTTTCTTAATAGTTTTAAACTCAAACTATAAGAACTCCGTTTTTGCTCAATACGGGTATTTCTCCATCAAGTGTGTCTGAACCTTTGGTGCTCTTTGTTTTCCCAAGGACCCTTGAAGAACTTTAGTATCATGAATATCATTGGTGAACTATGAGCTTATTATTCCCCACTGCCTTGGAACTATCTGCCTTGACATTATGAAAATAAATAAACTCTTCACTTTAGCAAGTTATTTTTCCCTATTTGAAAATAACTTCTTCACCTAAGCAAAAAAAGTTTAGCTCTAAACTACGTAGTGAATGAGATAATTGTAGCCCACCCCTGACACATTTTATCCTCACTATAGCCAGTTACACACTAGGGTCTGTCTCCCCTTATGAGCAGGATCTCCAGCCTAACGAGGCTGGAATGACAAAGGCTTATTTTCCTTCACTTTAGCCCCGTTCTGCTGATGTGGGCCAAGACTCAGTCACCTGGGGGAGTCTCTGTAGTTTCAATAGATGACTAAGTGATTGGGAGAAATAATTTCACTCCATAATATGCATTCTGCATTAAACACACTCATCAATCTTTCTCCCTTAAAAAGCTATCATGTTAACATAGCAATAAAGAGAAGACTAATTCTATTTAAGTAGCAATATCCATGGAGGAAAAATTATATTCAGAGTTATCTTCTTCAGTTTGGGAAAATGAATATAATTCTTCTCCCACTGGTTGATTTTCAGGGAGCAGGAAGGAAGAAGATCTTAACTGAACTTTTTTTGCCTCCTTCCCCCCTGCACCTGCCCCCCCCAACTTTTTGTTTCTTCCTTCTTAGAACAATGATATAGAAAAAGGATGCACTCACATGCCTCAATAAGGCTTCTAGCAAACACATTTTTAGATATCTGGATGGACATAAGTTATATAGGGACTTGGCTTTCATATGGAAAAACCAGGTTCCTTTCCCTCTCTCCCCTCTAATGAAAGCACACCTAGTATGATGAATGTGGCCAGAGCTGCAGGCTGGGGAGGAGGAGCAAAGGGGGACCATGCTTGGTTCACCTTTCTCCTGGTCTAAGTGGGCCTCTGACTCTGCGCTGGGCTTCTGGGGGGAACAGTAGAGGAAGTTCAGTGTGAGCTGAACAGAGGCTGCTCATAGTACTCCTCTCCGGAATTGGAAGGGTCGTCATAAGGCACAGACACCAAGAAGGAGTGGGCTAGGAGTCTAGGCCTCTCCCTGCTAGTGGCAGGTTCGTGGCTGGGGAACCTGTGTAGAGGACCCACTTGATCCTCAGCCCCTTCATCTACAAACAGACACACAGGAAGAAACTGCAGGGAGAACTAGACAAGACAGACACAAGATCAGACAGACGAGACAACACCTGCACAAGGACAAATGGGCCACAGAAGCAGCACAGTGGGAGGGAGGGGATTCACAAGACTAAGCTGATGGAGGATGCGAGAGAGTGAATGTTCATGCTTCAGCAGCCACTGAATTTAAACTATCACA